GGAGCCAGGTGTTTCTGAGATTGGCCAGGAGCCAGGTGTTTCGGATAGTGAGGAAGAGAAGTTGTGGCTGGATCCACGCCAGCGTAGGAGCGACAAGCGTGCGCAGCAGAAAAGGAGACGTGCCAGAGATTAAGCTGAGTCACTGGACCACACCCCACAGGCTATAAAAGGGAGGTGGTGGCCATTTGGACCTCTGTGATGGACAAAAGCTGAATCTCTGGCAAAGTAGTTTGCTGTGGCTTTAAACTGTGTGTATTGTTTTTTGTTTCTGTGTTCTTGGAGTAAAAGGTCTTGGCAGGCAGCTACGGAGCTGCTGCCAAGTTTCTTATCTGTGAAGTGGTGTCTGGAGAAGTCTTTAACCCTCGGCTGGCTGTTTGGGTGTGTGGGTCTGACGGGGACAGAACAGCTGTATACAGTAGTCCTTGACTTATGACCACAATGGAGCGTAACATTTTTATTGCTAAGAGAAACATTTGTTAAGTGAGTTTTGCCCCATTTATAACCTTTTTTCCACAGTTGTTAAGTGAATCATTGCAGCTGTTAAGTTAGTAATAAGGTTGTTAAATGAATCTAACTTCCCCATTGACTTTGTTTGTCAGAAAGGTTACAAAAGGTGATTGCATGACCCCGGGACACTGCAACCATCATAAATATGAGTCAGTTGCCAAGCATCTGAATTTTGATAATGTGACTGTGGGGTTACTATAACAATTGTAAACAGTCATAAGTCACTTTTTTTCAGTGTCATTGTAACTTCGGTCAGTAAATGAACTGTTGTAAGTCAAGGACTATCTCTACTAACACACGTTTTATGCATATTTGACAATAAGCTATTTGAGGACTTTCTTGGTGTTCTCTGAGCTTGGTTGTTTTCTTGCAGACATTTCATTACCCAGCTAAGTAACATCAGTGCTAGCTTAGCCTAGTTGGGAATGAAATAACTGCAAGAAAACAACCAAGCTCAGAGAGCATCAACCTACACATATTTTCTTCTACCAGCAAGGAGTTTCTTGTTTATCCAGAACATATGAAATCTACTGCCCAGAGTCACAGAGTGACATATAATAAATAAGATTAAATTGTGTATACTGCTTAAATACGTACTACCATTGCATATCTGGAAATTAACTTTTCAACACTTACTTCCATCTCTCCCTCAAACAATCCCAGCACCAAGCAGTGTCCTTCATGTTGGCTGAAATGGCACTGAAAGTGGAACTGTCTCGCCTGGCCTACCAGAGGGCAGCATGGGAGATAGATGCTGGTCGTAGAAATACCTATTTTGCCTCTATAGCAAAGGCATATGCTGGAGACATTGCAAATCAAGTAGCTTCTGATGCTGTCCAAATTTTTGGAGGAAATGGATTCAATAGTGAATATCCAGTAGAAAAACTAATGAGAGACGCAAAAATATACCAGGTAAGTAATCTGGTTGTTAATATCATTAGTCAATTGTCAATTGTTAATATCATTAGTATACTTAAAATAAATTTACATTTATATAATTCTAAAGAAAATGTGTCTTTTTTGGCTGGTGTGCAGGTAGGCACTCTCATCAGGATTCATAGCAGCTCTTCTGTTGCCCTCTGAAAGAATGTAGTATTACTTTTAATGCAATGTTTAATATGTTCTTTCTATTCTTTTTAATTACTCGGAATGTTTTTCTTTTTTTCTATTAACTAATTGTAGATTTAGTAATACAACAGATTTTACCATAGCACCGAACAAAGAAAAGACACGTTTTACATGGAGAAAAATGTAAAGAGCGTAGTTTGAAAATATGTCCCCTTTGTTGTACTCACTTCCGGTCCCATAAAAGTTACTGGAAAGTAATCTTATCTCATTGAGTAGTATAGGTAGCCGTCACCCAATGACCACAATTGAGACTGGCAACTCCATCACTAAGCAGTATGGCTTTGTTAAGTGAAGTATCCTATGACCGTGTTGGTTTTATGACATCAATTCCGTTGCGGTCATAAAGTAAAACTACTGTGGTTGTTAAGCAACACATCCCATTACCATGAGTTATGGTTTTACTGCCCACTTCTCCACCGATTCTCCTTGTTGTGAAGCACGCAAATAGCAATCACATAACTATGAAACACTGCAATGATTGTAAAATGTGCACCAGTTGCAAAGCAGTCAAGTAGTGACTGGGGGGGGGGGGATACAATGACAGTTGCAAGTTCAAGGACCAATTGTAAAATTACTTTTTAAGTGCCATCATAACTTCAGACAGTCATTAAAAAGGGCATTCGTTGACCAAGGACTACCCGTATGTATTTCCAAGTTGGAACACTGCTGTTTTTTACTTAAATACATCACTTTTTGGTGACTATGTTTCTTCTTGTGTTTTGCTTTGCTGAGGCGTTGCAGTGTTTCGTTTAGTTTCTATAATGTGCAGCAATGCAGTTTTTAAATATACAGGTGCAGATTTCATCATACTTGCTTCTTACATATTTTCACATCACACTATGTATAATTAAACTTTATTAGTTTTATATACGGTAGAGATTTTGAGTGTGATGTGCCGTGGTATTATTCAGAAAAAAAAGACAAACATCCCAGTAGACCTAAGTTCAGGTTTAATTAAAAGTAGCTCTTTGGACTATCAATTAAGTTTAGATTTTTGTTATATCATTGTATTTTATTATCACAATTATGCATTTACAATATTTTAACATATTACCCATGATAATTTAAGCTATATTGTTTTCATGAACATTTTGTCTATCATATATTTTCTCTTTTTCAGATTTATGAAGGAACAGCTCAAATTCAGAGAATAATTATAGTTCGTGAACATATTGGCAGGTTTAAAGCTTGAGAATGTACATTAGCTTGATTTACAAATGTTGGGCTTTTTTTTTTACTGGTGCTTTACTTTTAATATTGAACAAAAATGGCATCAATAGTAGTATTGTCAAAACCTAATACATGAAAAAGCCAGCCGCTTAATTTCTGGAACTATTCAAGATATTTCATATTTTTGTTCAACTTTATCATGACATGGTTGTCTCTGTTGTCTGAAATCTCTGTAGTATATTTAAGTGCCTTGGATTTCTGTAATTGAACAGGTCCCTGACATGAAGAATTCAATATAAAATTGAAGCCTGGGAGCCATGTGTAAATTAGATGTTGTTAGGTTTGCATTGCAACGATTACTACATATTATATATTGATTACAAGATTAAAAATAGTTTTGTAGATAAATTATTTTGCCTGCAGTTGGATTCATAAAGAATATAGAAGAGTTATACTTTTGTTTTACAGAGCAAAATGAAATTTAATGAAAGCTCCTTGCTGAAAGATGCTCCCCCCAAAAGTATCCCAATTTCCTTTCCCATGCCTTAACTTCACTGATTGGAATGTACTTCAATTCTCTACGATAAATTTTTGAGCATGTTGTAGAGGAAGAAGAGAGACATATATGTAACATATATGGCAATGGTGCGTTAAATGTTATGGTATTCCTTGACATGTACTCCTTGACCTATGACCATTCAATCAACAATTCCAAGTTACACTGGCACTGAATGAGTGGTGGTTACAAACAGTTCTTGGAGTTCTAGCCATCGCAGCATCCCGGTAGTCATGTGATTACAATCTGGGTGCTTGACAACCAATTCACACTTAACAGCTAGTTGATATGGATCCCACAATCACATGATTCCCACCTGCAGTCTTCCCTGCCAGCTTCCCCAGAAGGCCAGTGGGGAAGCTAGGGGGAAAGATCGCAAGTTGCTGGGGCACGTGTTTCCTATCACGCACCGTCTCCTAGCCTCTATGCACTCACTTTGCATTAGAACTCAGCCTTCAGATCTGCACCCCTACGCACACAATCCTGACCTGCATGGCACTTTGTGCACCCTCACCAACCCTCACAGCATCTCTCACATACTTTTTCCTGACCCATGCAGCATCCTTCAAGCACCCCCTCACATCGCATCACTTGAGAATGCAAATTTCTGTCACAATTGCTATTGTAAGGACTATCTATGCTCAGATATGATAAACATAGCCATGCAATCCAATTTTCCCCCTAATAATTTTATTATACTTGCAATATTCTAATGAGCGGTAGTTCAAATTACTAGTACAAAATTCGATATGCCTAAATGTGAACTTTTTTTTATAATGGATGTATATAGTTATTTTGGTATTGAAACCGAGACAGCTGATTCTCGTTAATCCTTATCTGCGCTGAAATATGTTAAACTGTCTTACCCCAAAGAGTCTGAGTTTATTTAAATAGCAAAACCAAATGGAAAAGTTTAAAAAAACACATCTTTAGGTCATGTTCCTGATTTTATTTTCCCAATAAAACATTATTTGCTAATGAAATGTTTTTTTCTTCTCTCCCACCCTGCACACCCCCTAGATCAGGCATGTCAAACTCGCGACGTATCGTGACTTTTTCCCCATTGCCAGCAATGGGGTGGGTGCAGTTTCAGTATGATGCATCTGGCCCTTGGGCCGGCAGTTTGACATGCCTACTCTAGATCTACTTTAAGGGTCTTCATTTACTTTTGACAAAAGTGACAGGAACCCCCATCATAGCAGTGAAAAATCTGTTAAAATAATATTAGATTTATAACAGAAAGATTAATATTTGTATGTGTAAGTTATGCTTGCAGAACTATACAAGCACCGAAAGGATTTACCCACATAGCCTCTTTACCTCTAGTCTGGAACTGCCTGCTTACTGTTCATTGAGTACATTAGCACAGCAATTATCCCTGGGTTAAGGTTATTTCGAAGAAGACTGCCATTATTTTCTTTTGGAAAATGCAAGAAAACCTCCTGTCTGAATAATTTTTGTGCAGTACTACCTCTCACCTATTGCATTTAGCCATAGGGTTGTCTACCTGGAGAAGTAGCTGTTGCTGAAGAGGTCAGACACCTCTTTTGTATAGCTTTTCTTTCCGTTGGTGGGGGTTCAGTCTGGGGAATATGAACCTTGTGGAATACCTCATTATTTTGATCAGAATGCAGCACACAACACAGATTGTCACCCAGATCTGAGAAGCATCCAGGCTAAGTGCAGATCTTCAGCTTTCCTCTTTCTGTTGGTTCTGTCTGTCCTACCAACAAAGCCATCATTCATACCCCAATAGCAGCAACAATTACTATTGTTGTGAGGACTGCAACACTGAAGACCTTGTTGTGGAGCCAAAGTAAGGGACAGAGTCAAGTCATTTTCAGATGACATACTTTTCTCCCTTTCCAGAGTAGGAGGAAGGTACAATGAAGTCCAAATTCTCCAAAAAATAGTTTTGTCACCTTTTCCAGGCTGATGACCGTTAGCAGCTGTTTTCAAAGGTCCTCAGAAATTTTTTTCCAGCTGTTACACACTTTCATATATCTGCCTTGTGAATATCTCACTTTGATAATGAAGAACTTGAATCTGTTCTTGAACTAAGGCAGGACCTCCCACACTCACACCTGATTATCATCCCATTAATTGAAACACCTGACTAATTTCACCATCAAATGAGGGTGAGATTCATATATTTGTGCCACACAGAAATATGTACCTTTGGATCACTTTCCTCAATAAATAAATTAACAAGTGTGCTTTTGACTCCTTTGTTTAATTTGCTTTTCTAATTGTAGGAATTCTATGGAGAACAAATCAAATTTTAAGTTATATTTATGTAGAAATGGTGAAAATTTAAAAGGATTTACTAGAATATATACTGGGGACTTTGTAAATGATCCAATGTAGTGGTGAATAAGTAATATCGCTTTCATTTCCTTTGGCATTTTTTAAAAGAAAATGATCTTACACAATTCGACTTTAATGCCCAATGTGATATCCCCAAACTGTGTCTTAAGGTATATTAGCAAAGGAACTAATTTAAGTCTTTTACAGTAGGTTTAAATTGTTAACTTTTTGAAGTTAATATAAGATTATAGATCTTTAGATAACTACAATCAATTCCTCGGATCAATCTGAAAACCACAAAGGCGAGGGGAGTGGAAGTTGGGAAGCAAGGAAAAGCAAGTACAGGTAATACATTACTTACAAGTTTCATTTAGTGATGGCTTGAAGTTATAATAGAACTGAAAAAAGTGACATGACCATTTTTCACACGTACAACCATTGCCACATCCCCATGGTCATGTGAATAAAATTAGGATGCTTGGCAACTGGTTCATATGGTTGCAGTATCCTGGATCATGTGATCAACTTTTGCAATCTTCTGACAAGCAAAATCAGTGAGGAACCTGGATTCATTTAACAACGATGTACTAACTTAACAACTGCAGTGATTCAGTTAACAACTGTGACAATTAAGATAAAATTGGGCAAAAGTCACTTAACAAACGTCTCAATTTCTCAAACAGAAATTTGGGGCTCCATTGTCTTGGACTACCTGCAAAGGCGGCACAACACCCTCCCAAACCCCAATATCTGCTTTCTATTAACCTAGGAACCAGATTGATTATTATTAAATGAAATTGATAACTTCCCAATTTAGTGTTCTCCAAGTATAAAACCAGAATGTCTCGGAATGTTTTCTTTAAATGGAAACAAGCACCCAAATCCTCCCTCCTCGATTTCAATAAGCAATTTCTGCGGTAGAGCTGTTGCTTAAAAAAAAAAAAAAAGAATTAAAAAGCGCCGCGGAAACATTTTTTTTTTCCCGTACAGGCAATTCTTAAGACAGCCTCCCGGGATCCATTCGGGACACGAGACGGAAATCGACTCCTTTTCCTATTTCCGGTGAGCGATGCGCCTGCGTCGCAGAGGCACGTGAGAAGGCATCGCTGATGTACCATTATGGTGAGTGCCTGCTTCCTTTTGCCGCTCTTGCAGCTTTTCGCGCCCTCGCTGCTCGTCCCGCCTCTCCCCTCCCCTTCTGCGGCTTTCCTCGGGGAGGGAAAATAGTCGGTGCAGCCCCCGCGTCAGCCCTGTCGGCCATTCCGCGGGTGTTTGAAGCTGAGGCCGAGATGATAGGAAGGGGGGGGAAGGCAGATAGCATGGGGGGGAAGGCAGTCCTTTTCGCGGTTTTTTGGCTACGGGGGGGGGGGGGACGGGATTTGTGTTTTGCTGTCAAGCGAGAAATTGGTCATGGCTGCTTAGGGGATCCACGTTTCCCGAGCTTCCCCAAGAGTCGGGTTTTTTTTTCTCCCCCTCTCTACGTAACCTGCTGAAAAAGGCGATCCATAATGGTAATAATTGAGAGCGATTGCAGCGCGTTTTCCTTTATAGTCCAAGTCGCCCCTCTCCCCCCCCCCCCCAGCTATTTGCGAGAGACACCGTGGAAACTTGCCGTGAATTTCTTGCTGGGTGAGTATAGCGATGTTTAGGGCAGGAATTCTTGTGTGTTCGAACTATATAGCATGTGAACGTTCAGGTTGTGCAAAAGCCAAAATGTAGGATCTAGCTTAAGCAATTGCTTTTATAACTGTGCTTTTTAGTCTGGTTTAAAAAGAAAACTCTCGGGTGATCCGCAGATTAAACTTTAAGCTTCTCAATTTGCCGTGCAAGTTTTGTTCTGTTTTCCCCTGCCCCCTCTCCACCCACAAAATCGTAAGGGGAAAGTGAAGCACCATGTGCTTAATTTTAGAATTTAAAACGGCAAGACTCAAAGGAGTTTTACCATGAGACAAACAGCATCAAGAGCAAGAACTAGAATTTGATGTCTAAATTGCATGTCCCTTAAGAAATTTTTTAATTCTGAGCAAGATAGCAAATTTTAGAAAATAAAAGAAGCAACCAATGGCTAACCACATGCTCTCATTAACTAGGTGGCCATCTTGGGGGGAAAAAATCAATTTAGCCATGGTATAATTTTCTGTTGCTGACAGTTTTATACTTATACCTTTAGAGGGGGTTTTTCTGGTTTTAAAATGTGCTCTACTAATGTCATTAATATTAATATTTTCTCCATTTTTTACTAACGTTGTTAAATAGCTCAAGATAAAATTCCAGTTTTTTTCTACCTGTAGAAAAATATAAAAAGTACATAGTAGTAAAACATACATTACTGTATCCAGATTTTTTTTGTACTTCTATGAATGTTAGCATTTTTACATTTAGTTTACTGACTACAATAAATATATGTAATCCATTGTTTGGACATAAGTTGGAAAACTGCATTATATATTTGATTGGAACAACTTTTTGATGAGTTTTACCATAACATTTTTAAGGGAACACCACAAAAAGATGTCATAATAAAAAATGATGCTCCATCAACATTACTGTTAGAGAAGCATGCAGACTATATAGCTGCTTATGGAATGAAGAAAGATGATTATGTGAGTATTCTGTTAACACATTAACAGAAATAGTATTTAGCTCTCTTTAGAGTGAATAAGTGTGTATGTGTTTATATATTGAATATAACAGGGTTTTTATTGGTTAATTTGTTAAATGTTTATGCTGCCCATTTACGCTATGAGGCAACTCTTATAAAATTGCAGATGGTTTCTTTAGGTCAGTGATGTAATCTGGCATGTATTATCTGACTTCAGAGCTGTAGAAGTCTCTTTAGAATGACACTGAGACCTAAAAAAGCCTATTTTTACGTTAATTTGAACATATTTTTATGTTTAAGACTTACCTCTGCTTTTCAAATGTTGCTTTGTTTAAAAATTTGAAATGAAATAATATGCTACTTTAGCCCATTATAAGGGTTAATTATAGGCAATGTTAGCTGATGATAGCTAAATCCAAAGGAATCTGATAGCACCTTTCCAAGCTAACAGATTTTATTAAAATGCATAAGCTTTGGGGAACTACAATCAGATTCATGGAGTAATTAAGCTGATGTAGATTTAAATTGGATGAGATAGGGGATGGGTGAGGAGGGAAAGACAAGATAGTTATGGAGATATGAGACAAACCACCAGTATTTATCATTTAACAATTGTCAGTTTTAAGGATTTGTACGTTCACAATTGTTAGTTTAGTCAAAGAATGTATAATTGGGAACTTCTTAGCAATTTGCAAGACATTCTAGGTACAAACTGTTCCATGCATGAAACAACTAATTTTAGGCATTCTGTACCTGAGTGAAATCATACTTTTTTAGGCTATTATAGGGTACGCTTGCTAAAGAAATGAAAAATCCCTTTGTTGAGGATTCTTCCCCTAATCATCTAAGTAAATATTCATGCTCCCTTTTATGCTTCTTTAGATTAGAAACTAATTTAAATGTGATATACTTATTTCAGGAATACTGTATGTCAGAATATTTAAGAATGAGTGGTGTCTATTGGGGACTGACAGTAATGGATCTCATGGGGCAACTTCATCATATGAACAAAGAAGAAATTCTGGCTTTTATCAAATCTTGCCAACATGAATGTGGTGGAATAAGTGCCAGCATAGGCCACGATCCTCATCTTTTATATACGTTAAGTGCTGTTCAGGTAAACAGATATATTATTTATATAGATTCACTAGTGGCTTAGCCATAGTGTAATGCCTAAGTGAATTATTTTCAAGGCTCTAAGATCTGATTTTCTTTAAAAAAAAAAGATTCCTTACATTTATGGATAACTTCCCATAACTGAGAGTACTGATGCTTCTAACAGCATTATAGTTTCTTAGGTCAGTGATGAAACAATGTTTTATCTGAATCTGCAGTTGATGTGGTTTAACACTCAGCTCTAGAATTACTCTGAGACCTGAGAACTTTTTTTAAAAAAATTAATAATAATTTATGCGTTAGATTTCTGGATTTTGTCAGGGCAACTTAATTCTTAAATCTTAATTCAAAACACCAGGATATCTTAGACCTGGATAAATAAATCTGCTACCTTCAGATTATATCTCACATCATATTAACCAACACAAACTATACTAAAGTACATTTAAATTATATTAGATCACCTTCCTTCCATTATGTTAATCAGCTATGATCAAATGAAATCCCATGTTTCAAAAATTCTTATGTTTGTTAATAAATTCTATTTTATACTAATTGTTGCTCATGTACACAAGCATAAAAACATGGAGTAATGTCATACAACTCTTAGCTGTATAATTAAAATTATTGCTGTAAATGTTCTTGATAATCTGGATAAACATTTATAGTGGCCTTTTAAATTCCCTTAAATTATATTAGTGGAAACAGTTACTATAGACAATTTGAAAAAAATATTATGAAAATAATGCTACTTACATATCAATGATCATTTAGTTCAAGGGTGTCAAACTCACCGTGTCACGTGACGTGTCGCAATGTATCTTGACTTTTTGTAGTGCCGGAAGTGGGGTGGGCGCGGCCTCCATATGATGCAACCAACCCACAGGCCAGCAGTTTGACACCCTGATTTAGTGGTTTGGAATTATGAAATACTTGAGTTTTTAATTCAAAAGACACAGGTTGGGTACAATCTGTCATATATAAAGTCATTGAAAACAGTAGAACCTATTAGTCATGACTAACTTTCCATTGATTTACATAAATCTTTAATTGAAATTAAATATGGATTATAACTCATCATATTTTGGGCATAATATGTTAAACTTGAATGTATCTGTAAATATTTTATATTTGAGGTAGTAAAAAAAATAGGGAAAACAGGATTGGAATTTTTTTGTAACATTTCAGGCTAATGTAAAATAAAATTCTAATTAAAATAGTTGGATCGTTTTCAAATATATAAATATGTTCTTGTGTATTTTTATATTCTAAAATTTTGATATGACTTTATTTTCTAGATTCTAACTCTGTATGACAGTGTGGATGTTGTTGATGTAAATAAAATTGTTAGTTATGTAAAAAGCTTACAGAAGGAAGATGGATCATTTGCTGGAGATATCTGGGGTAATTTTTAAAAGTATATTGATTTCCATTCTGATGAAAGATTTAAAAATCATAATTCAAGAGAATATGTGATGGTATTTCCACATATTTTTCCTGAATTGTAGTTACTTAGATCTATGATGAGATTTTATATACATCTGACTGTAAATGTGATGTGTATCACATTTTAGCTCTAGAATTACTCTGAGATCTGAGAAATATTGCTTAAAACTAATGATTACCATTTTTGCATCAGCACAATTACTTTTTATCATACTCCTATGGTGAAAATATAGTTTTGGCTGTGCAATTCTATGTAAATTTAACAGCAGTAAGACTTGCGTTTAAATAGGACTTTGTATATATAGGATTGAAACTTTAATTTTTTTAAAAATTACCTTTAAATACAATTATTGCTTAAAAGCATGTTCTTATTGGAATATTCATATAAACAAGCTATCCTTGTCTGATTTGATTTGATATATAAATACATGTTTTATTTTTGTATTTCTGAGCTTAACTTAAATTGTAAATTTTTTTCATGTAATGTTTATAGCTTCTTTTATTTCTTCCTCTAGGAGAAATTGATACTAGGTTTTCATTTTGTGCAGTAGCAACCTTAGCCCTTCTGGTAAGTGGTTTGAAACAAATATACACTGAAATGGTCAAGATATGCTTTCAAATAATATGTATTTTATTTTACTGGACATTTAAAAAAAACTTCTCATAATATTATTAGAAATGTAACATTTTAAAATATTCCTAGAATGGAATACGCCAGGAACTGAAGCTCAATAAAATTAAAGATTTCAAGTTTGAAAATGGTATTATCTTCAGATTGAAGGAAAAAGAATAATTATAGTAAATGAAAAAAGGCTATTTTTCTACCACAAAAAAAATCCTGTAGTATTCAGTAGATGTCTTCAGTCCTTTGAGTACATTATTAACATTAATTAGTTTTGACAAATGCTGTGTTTTTGTTCTGCATTCAGAGCTCCTAGTTCATTCAGGCACTGGAAATTATGAATTTTCTAAATTGTAGAGCAATGAATAATGAAAATTAATTGAGTTCACTTTGGAATATTGCTCTAATTTTAGATGTGTCAAATTGAGTAGAAAGTCATTGAAGAAGAAATACCTCTCTATTGTATTCTGCAGAGAACAGTTGTATTTTCTTCTGCCAAGTTGAGTGAACATCAGTGCTTAGTTGGGTTTTGTCAAAGAAGTAATTTTAAATTTCCTGCTTTTCAGGGGAAGTTGGATGCAATTGATATGGACAAAGCGGTAGATTTTGTGTTATCTTGTATGAATTTTGATGGAGGATTTGGTTGTAGACCAGGATCTGAATCTCATGCAGGACAGGTAAATTGTGATAAAAGCTTAGCAATAACATGCTAAATTAATTGTCTTTGCTTTTAAGATTTTTTTTAAATGTATTCATTACTCCCCTAAGTATTAGACATTCTAAAACCTTCTGCATATTGTTATCAAAAACCTAGGTAAGGGAAATCATTCTAAGAAGAAAAGTAAGGATATGATATCATTAATAACATCCATTGACCCTGTGCATCTCTATCAATAAATTTAAGTTCCATTTTTTTTATTTTTAAATATTACTAGTTAAATCAGTTTCATATTGTAATACTTAATTGAAAGTATGATAGCTAGAAGTTGGAGATTTAATTTGCTGCATTTATTATATAAATAATTGATATCCCACATTGTATTTTTTCTTTGTTTTATCTGAATAGCTTTCTAAAATAGACATGAACTTTATATCTGTAATTTTAGATCTATTGTTGCACAGGATTTCTGGCTATAGCTGGCCAGTTACACCAAATAAATGCTGATCTTCTAGGATGGTGGCTTTGTGAACGTCAATTGCCATCTGGTGGCCTTAATGGAAGACCAGAAAAGGTATAAATTTGTGTGTATTTTGTTTTTCAGAATTTCGTAGTTTGGGAGGAAGGAGAATTTTGTGAAAAGTGACTGATTGGTTCTAGATATGTGTAAAATCGTTGTAAGATAGTATTTGAAATTCATTGATACTTCCATGAACACTTTCTATTTTTAGCAAAGATTCTTGATTCCATAGAGTTGGTTATTTTCTTTATGCATTTGTAAATAACCTTGAAACATCAGTCTAGATCAGAGGTCCCCAACCTTTTGGGCACCAAGGACCAGTGCCGTGGAGAAAGGTTTTTCCACAGGCAAGAGTGTGTGTGGTTTTTTGTGCTGCCTGCAAATGGGGCTTCGCTTGTTTGTGAGGACTGGTTGCTGGCATGCTGCAGCCCGGTACTGGTCCATGGACTACGAGTTGGGGACCCCTGGTCTAGACTAGACCTACACAACATACAACCCATCAAGCAGTGTTGGGTCTCTTCTAGACATTTAGCATAAGTGAATAACAGTAAAGTAACTTTATCCTGCCTTTGTCCATGAGGTAACACTTAGATGGTGTATCTATTAATTGGTCTGGGGAATAGATTTGACAGATAAACTACTTCTTATGTATCAAATTTATCAGGGACACTTACAGGTCTACTTCATCAATGCGCCGTGACTGGGAACTGTAGTGCTAGAGCTTCCCTATGTCTTACTAATACTATATATTGGTTTATTACACTTCCATTAATCCAATATTTCTACCTTTTGTAGAAATCCCTTTTATCTCTTTCAAATGTATCCTGTTTATTACTAGATACTCTTTTTATTAATTGTACAGGCAATTGCGAAAATCATTCGTGATTTTCCA